GGGCCAGAATAATCTTCACCACTTGTTGAAGGTAACTCCCATCCCTCCCAGTCTTAGGATACCCAAACACACGTGGGGGTTGGACAACTCTTCTCCTTAAACCTCAAAACAGGACAAAAAAGTATATTACATATTATATCACATATATGGACCATATGGATATTGCAGCTAAGTCTCTCAAGGAATCAAAGCTAATGCTTCTCAAATTTAAGATGTCTAAAAAAGTAAAAGAAGAAAGGAAAGAAGAAAAAAAAGGAGAAAGCAAGTTTAAGAATCTGGTTCAAAATATAAACAATCCTCAAGTGATTCTGTTTTGGGTGGTCCTGGACTGCCATTGAAAGTTCTGGTTTCCCCGGAGGAAAAAGAACCTAGAATCTTGACAAGAAATAAAGCAACCACGGTAGAGTTGTAGGTACATTGTTTTGGGGTGTTGTCGACAAAATGCTACTGTTACAGCACAGAGTACTTATATCTCCTTCTAGCATCAGCATATTTTTCTTCACTTATGTGGAGTACACTGTATAGAATAGGCTTAATTTATAGCTAGGCTTGGGACTACTCTGTAATTATTTGTGGAGATGCATGAGTGCCTGTTTTGGCTCCTGGCTACATTAAGGGGACTGATTTATGATATGCGGTTGAGACTGAAGCTCCACTGGTGACAGCCGAAACCAGTTTGTTTACCAATGGATTTCAGCTGGCATATGAGATAGACAGACCTGGCTATATGACTTGAAGATCATAAAAAGACTTCACTGTGAACTTCTGCCTTGAACTCTCAATTCAAAGATGACGTGTACCCTTGTGGGAGTAAGGATCTTAGAGGGCTTGCACCTGGATCTCCCTTTACCCCTTGATGCTTACCAGCACTGTCTTTCTCTTACTATATCTTTTGCCAATAAGTAAAAACATTACATGAGTATGTTCTATGAACCTCCTCGGTCCTTTCAAGTATCTGAACTTGTACAGCCTTTGCATATAAAAACAGTATCATTATTGGAAAAGTTAGTGTAACATACCTAACAATAGCTTGATATAATTGAATTATTGTGTTAATTATAGTTTAGTAAAACATAGGCTCTGGCAAATACTTATTACCAGTAAGGAGAATATTAAAGACAAACTCAGATTTGTACAGCTTCAAGTCAGTAAAGAAGTGAAGTATGAATAAGAAAAAGCATGCAAAGGAAAGTATGATATATGTAAAAATGTTCTTCAGATGACTTGCACAGAAGACCATTGTGTAGTCATCAGCTTGCTATAAGCTTCTTGAGCTAACAGTCAATTTCCATGTGCCTTCAGCTTCTGGAAGCTCTCTACAGAACTTCAAATTAAATTACTAAGGGGTGTAAACTGTAACAATATTAAGGTTCCTTTTTCATTTGTCCAGCAGTTGGAAATGAAGACATCCTTGCACAATTTAAATTCATGAATAACTCTTCCAGTGAAGAGGTTCCCATAACACTAGACCATGCTAACTAAGACCACAGAATCGAATCATATTTTAGCCTTTGTAAGACTTTTCAACAGAATTCTTCAAACCGCCAGCAAGATAAATACACTATTTAAACTAGTACATATTCATAAACCATGGAGGGAGAAAACTGTATACAATTCCTTTGGAGTAACTCAAAAGTTCTCTTGTAATTGTTTCAGTCAATGCCGCCACCTTTACAATTTATCCTAATTAATTTAATTACAAATGAAGCATGAACTGGCCACAGCTGCTATCCTGGAAATGTTTTCCCAATAGTGTTTAACTTTGTAGCAAATTTGTCCCTACTGAAATGAATTCTTTCATTTGTTCTATCAGGATTTTATCCAATGCCTGATAGATATTTTATATGATACTATCAAGCAGCCACTCTGATTTTGTCAGATATTTATCTTCATGAATCTTACAACATACTAATTGAATTTCTGGAATTATTTTTTAAGAACTTCTTTTCTGGCCACATTTTGTGTATCTATAATTGGATACTTGAACTTCTCCATGAATTTGCTACTATTAATAAATTATTTATTGTTTCATATGAGACCTTTATATTAAGATTTTTAGTCAGAGCAGTCTGCTTAGCATAATCTCTAAAATACTTCTATTATATTTCCAAGGTGTTTTTATAGTATCTATAACTTTTGCAGTACCTTTTTTACCGTGAGCTTATGACAATGAGCAAGGGTTCTTTGATATGTGCTCTGCTGTTGAGTTAATATATTCTAGATCATGGTGTATCATTTTCATATATACACAAAAAAAGAAGAGTTACGTTAATCTAGGTACATATGATAATCAGTATTTTTATGTGCTCTGCCACAATCCGTCTTTCTATTTCTGTGAAGTCTTCTGTCCTTTCTAGAACTAAAGGTATTCCTTGCATAATTTTTAAAATTATACATAGTATAAGTACTTTCATGAGTAGAGTAGCTATAATCAGATCATTTATAGGGAACCATAGCACATCCTATCTAGAAGTAAATCCTACTATTGTATATGTGGGTTTTGTTTCACAGAGAATAATGTATCCTTCCAATAATAATCTCAGAGTAGTAGTTGTTAGTTGTGGGTCGGGGCATAGGATTTTTAAAGGTTTTCACCATTTCTGTGGTTTTATTAAACCAATTTATCTGATGATTTATTAATAGCAAGATTATTAGTGGACATAAAGACACCTATATCAATAAGAAAGATATATTGTTTCCCTTGGGAGTTCAGAGGAAAGACAAGCAATTTTTGGGTGCCTGTGATTCCCATGGAATTAAGTCATTGGACAGTCCTTCTGAATTTTAGCTAATGTGGGACATTAGTTCTTTAAATGACATTTCTGTTTGAAGTATCTATAGGTTTCTTTATCTACAGTTTCACAAATCGTAGACAATAGAGGCTCTTTTAGTTGTTTTACCTAAAGATCCATAACTATATTGATTTCTAGCTTATTTACTTTTTAAGTCTATCTGGAAATGTCCAGTCACATATTGGATATTTTCTAAGTTGATAATTTTACATTTTAATATTTTTGTCTGTTTGATTCCCCTAATTCAGGACTGAGCCATTTATAAAATGAGAAGATATAGTCTTTCTTGTCAGGTGTTGAGTCCACCCCAGAATTGTTTGAAGATGTCATAAAGTCTGTCATTTATCTTTATTTAGTTTATACTTCTGTATTTTTGTCGAAATAAAAGCTTTCAAAATTGCCTTATGTAATGCATTTTCCATTTCTATTTTTTAAATTTACACCACAAGGTTATTTAAATCTTCTCTTTTCCAAACTGCTGCTTTTAAACATTTTCCTCCATGAGGCTAACAATTAATTGAATTCATTCGTATATATCTGTAGTGTAGGACAATAAGTGTCTAATAAAAATCCTGAATTCTGCAGAAAATATTATGCCTATATCCCTGAAATCATTAATTATAGTTCTTAATTTGGCTCTAGATCAGGGTTTTAATTCAACTTCCCTAGATCTGACTTGTGTTCTAGAAATTTTAAATGTGGTATTCTTTTCCTAATGAAAGCGCTGAGGACAGACTAGCTCATTTACAAAACCAGTTAAAATTGCATAGAAAAAAGGAATGAAAAGAGGGCTAGCTTTTGGAAGGTAAAAAGGTTTGACAAAGACAACATTGGAATTTAAATTTTATTTAGTAAGCTCAGGATGCCAATCAAAAGAGTGGAGTATTGACTATTCAGTATTTTATCTCCTAATTTGTCCACAGCCCCTCTTACATATTGTAATTCATTGAATGTGTCATATCAAAAATCCCTCATAATAGTCATTGTTATTCTAAGTTATCTATCTATCCAAACATTTTTCTAAACTTTATTAAGAAAATGAGAAGATTTAGGATTAAAAATGTGACTTTTTAGAGGAAGCAGACGTTCTCCCAGGAAGAGGCTGAGACTCTGGCATAGACAGGCCCCCGACACACGAGAGAGGGGGGCCTCTCTGATCAGTCAGGAGTGTGCACTTGCAAATGTCTGGCACTCACTTGTTTGTTGCATTGAGTCTGCTCCTTCTTGGGTGATTATCAGATGCATGGGTTGATACTGACTGAATGGCTTGCAGAAACCATGTTCATTGACGGGAGCTACCATTGACTGAACAGAATTAAAACAGGTTCTGTTCCCATGGCTGCAGGAAAAGAAGTGTTTTCTTAAAGTTATGGACACATTCTTATTCTTGCAATTTGGGAATATTGGCCCAGACTAAACACAGAGTTCTGTGAAGAGGTTGTCTCCAGGACCTGACAAATTTCTTTTTCTCTGCACTATACAACACAGACTTTATTCTCCATCTGAGGGAAAAGATAAGCCAGGTATTTAAGAACACAGGGCTGTCTCTCCTTTCAATAGATGGGTGATGGGAGATTCTATCCTTCCTTGGTACATCTAGTAACAGCTGATAACTCAAAGGCCCTCAGATGCCACAGATGTATTATACATAACTCAAGGGGTGAGACAGAAGTGAGTAATATGTAATAAATGGGAGAATGCGGATTCTTCTAAGGATTTCAAAGAAAATTTATGTTTATAACACTGCTGGCCAAGAGAGTACTTGTCTGTGAACTGGGCTTACCTCTGGACAGTTACATCAAAATAAAAATGTTGTTAGTTTATTGCTTACTAACATTATTACCATTTAACCTTCCCTGGAAACACAGTTTAGCTTCCTTCTTTTTCTTTCTTTTTCTGAAAGTGTAGAACGAAGTTCCACCCACAGAGAGACATCCATTTATAAAGCTGGTGTTGGGAGAAAAGATTATTTTTATAGGCTCAAACATGTCACAGTAAGCTTGTGATTAGATCAGGTTTGAGAAAATGATTGTCCAGACAAGACAGTAGTGTATACTTATTTCTGTAATAGTGAGACATTTTCACACATAATTAAAATAACACAAATTGTGGAAGATGTGAACATAGCTATGCTTCTGGTAACTAGTAAGCAATGTTGTTATTAATTAGCAGAAATCTTGGATTTTAAAGCTGTTTTTCTCATTACAGGCTGTGAACCTATTCCTGTGCGCTATCTTGAGTGGAGCAACATAGAATCCATCATAGCCATCGCCTTTTCCTGCCTGGGCATACTTGTCACCTTGTTTGTTACCCTTATCTTTGTGCTGTACCGGGACACACCAGTTGTCAAATCCTCCAGTCGGGAGCTCTGCTACATTATCCTGGCTGGCATCTTCCTCGGTTACGTGTGCCCTTTTACTCTCATTGCCAAACCTACCACCACATCCTGCTACCTCCAGCGCCTTCTGGTTGGCCTCTCCTCTGCCATGTGCTACTCTGCTTTAGTGACCAAAACCAACCGAATTGCACGCATCCTAGCTGGCAGCAAAAAGAAGATCTGCACCCGGAAACCCAGGTTCATGAGCGCCTGGGCCCAAGTGATCATTGCCTCAATTCTAATTAGTGTGCAGCTAACCCTGGTGGTAACCCTCATCATCATGGAGCCCCCCATGCCCATTCTGTCCTACCCAAGTATCAAGGAAGTCTATCTTATCTGCAATACCAGCAACCTGGGTGTGGTGGCCCCTCTGGGCTACAACGGACTCCTCATCATGAGCTGTACCTATTATGCCTTCAAGACCCGCAACGTGCCCGCCAACTTCAATGAGGCCAAATATATTGCCTTCACCATGTATACCACCTGTATCATCTGGCTGGCTTTTGTGCCCATTTACTTTGGGAGCAACTACAAGATCATCACCACCTGCTTTGCAGTGAGCCTCAGTGTAACGGTGGCCCTGGGGTGCATGTTCACTCCCAAGATGTACATCATTATTGCGAAGCCCGAGAGGAATGTCCGCAGTGCCTTCACCACCTCTGATGTAGTCCGCATGCATGTTGGCGATGGCAAGCTGCCCTGCCGCTCCAACACTTTCCTCAACATTTTCCGAAGAAAGAAACCAGGGGCAGGGAATGCCAGGTGAGTTATCTGACCTGGCTTTGCCTCCCTCTCTTGTCTTTTCTCTTTTCTTCTATTTGAGTAAATCATATTCTTCCATTCCCCCAATGGTTTTCATTTCCTTTCTTAATCTTTTCTCTTTCCCCGCCCTTCCCCCTTACATTTCCTATTCTCTGGCAGTAGGAAATACTAAATGTCTTCTTTGTTTTCATTCCTTTGAAAAAGCAGGGAGCATGAAACAACAGCCAGCTGAACACATCTGTATTCTTACCTAGAATCTTCAGCTTCTGTTCCGCCAACAATTGTTTCTTTTCACATGGGTCCTCCCCTTTATGGATCATCAACATATCTCTGGGGGCTGGGTTTGAGATGCAAATTCTAGTTCTAATTTTTAGTTTAGAATATGACTGAATAAAGTTTCTGATTTATTTTTATCACTCTGGAGCCTCACCTTTACTAATCTGGGTTGGAGAGGAAGGAAATTAACCACCTGTGGAAATTTGACTCTTTCAAAAGTTGAGTGCAACTAGCAGCAAGTCTTCTGAGATAAGCTTCCTTAAGCAACTCTCCTACCATGCCCCTCTTATTTATTGAGCATTGATGTATATTGTAATAAAGATGTTCCATCATGCTACATGTGAATTGAACTACCTACCTCTACTGCAAGGTCACGATCAAAATGACTTGTTTCTAAGCCATAAAACACCAAAAGAAATAAGAAACTAAATAAAAGTGAGGAGCTCCAAACTGACATGTATGCTTGAAGCTGAAAGGTAATTGAACTATCCAAAAATTCCCCTATTTTCCTCACAAGCAGTGCTAATGTTTCTTTTTGAAATAATTCTTTATAAGTGAGGAATTTTAAGACATAATTATAACATATACATTATTTTGTAACTATTCCACCCACCTGAACAAGTCAAAAGACTAGGGGAATAGGTATTATTTTCCCCCATTTTGTAAGTGAGAGAACTCAGCCACTGTGAAATTCTGGGACTCCTAAGTGTAATTCTATCTAGTCTGCCATTCTTTGTGTAGGTCTTAATTTCTTACATGAAATTTCTCGTCTTAACATATGTCAAAAAAACTGACATGCCTCTGTGTTTTGTATCTTTACTTGCCAAGCAGTACCAGGGGCATCTTTTACAGAAATCCTGTAATCGGTTTGAGGATCAGGTGAAGGAGTGTATAGGAAAATATATCTTTTAAACCATAGAATTATTATTATTATTTCAAATAATACATAATATTTTTTTAGTGTTAAGGGTTAAGATCATAGTCCATGCCTACTTATTGCTGTGTCAGTTCCAAGATCTAAATAAGATACTGGTCATAAAAGTCGCTTAGTCATTTTTCTCCCTTGCCAGGCTTTTCACGCTCACCAACATCCCCTTAGGAGTAGTCCCCTACCAGGGACTCATCAGTAAGCATGAAGGCAAACCAACAGCGCCATGAAATGAGAAAAGAATAATAGACCATAGACACAGAACCCAGATGTAAAATGGCACATAACAATTTTCATTAAGAGGGAAAAAGTGAGAAGAAAAGCAAATGAGAAGGGAGAAAACACTCTTTAAGCTGGAGTGTTTGTACCCACTAAAAAATGTCCTTTATTGTATCTCAAATGGCATCGTGGGGATTCCATTCGACCACCTCCCTTTATGCACGTGCACATTTCTGACTCCTCTGACTGTATTTTGGCTCTTCAGAAAGTTTCATATGATATTTGGTCATAGTCATTTCTGAAAGCTGTTCTAGCCATTAAATGAGAGGCCTATATGATCAAGATATCTTGTTTTGCTACCCAGGGATATGCATTTTTGAAAGCTCTCCCAGTGATTTTATGTACCCTGTACACACAATTTTATAAGCGCCTGTCCAAGAACTGTGACTAATGAGTAATATATAGTGCTTGCTGCTAGGCTAAGCTGATGTTACTTTAACAGTTCTTAGCAATTCTCTGACAGCCAGGCATTGTTATACATTCCGATCCTCTTCTCATACCTGGAACCTCTTTCCTCATAAGCTGAGCCTGTTCCCTTCGCCATTCTGAATTTAGAAATCAATTTTATTTGGGATCCTCCTTTTCAGAGAGAAATCAGCTTGTTCTAAATTGGATTGGCTTTCTAGAAAGTACTGTTTTACCAGTAAGCTGCTCCTCTGTTAGCTATAATTTATCAAGCACTATCAGATTATGATGGTAGGAAATATGCTTCTAATTAATAACATGGAGCTTTCTTAGTACAACCTGTAGCTACTGAAAGGTGAACCACAGCTGACCTGAGGTACAGAGAGTATTTGAGGCTAAACTTTTTTGGATCATAGACGTTTAATGTACTCATTTTCTCATTTATTCTTCTGTGTCTTCTCTTGATTTATTTTTCTGTAGACTCTCTATGAGGCTGTAATTTTAAATTAATAATATCAGTGCCTACATTTTTACCTTTTTAAATGCTATTTTGTGTTTTTCTGGTTTGTCCCCAAACTTACAAGAACCACAACAATCTAATACTTTTTAGAGCAACTAAGATCTAGCAGAGTTTTGCCAACTGAAGCAAGGGCCTAAACACTGGAGAGCACATCACCCAATGAGTTTATTACCATTCGGGATGTGTAATTCCTACATTTATGGTGCACTGAGGGTGTTCAGCAGTCTGCATATGTAGCTATAAACACAGAACAGCTGCTGTCATGAAGAGCTTCCAACTGATCTATCTGTTTGAATATTATTCTGAGGAGTTGCAAGTCCGACTACATCCTTGTAAGAGGCTGTTTCTGAGATGCTCAGGAGGGGTGACGTTGTGGGTCTGTTTTTGCAAAGTGTTCCGCAGTTTTTAAATTTGACTCACAGCTAACCATCTGACACAACCAAAGGTCTGGGCACTTGCTTTGCATTTTCTGAAATGTAATTTAGGAGAGTGTAACACAAAAACTGGGTGTTTAGGTTACTTACAGTTAGACATCCTATTAAGCATAATCCTACCCTAGAAGATGGGTGAACTAGTATAATTGTCTTTGACACATCTAATTCTTTAGCTGTTAACTTGATGTATTTGAATAAGAAAATGTTCAGGTTTAACCTAAATAAAGATAGTGGTAAAATCCTCTTGCTTGGCAACAGAGAGTCCTAGACATTCATAATGCAGTAAATTATTTAGATACAAATTACTTATCATTTCCTTTTAAGCAAACGGAGTTAACATTATACAACTGAAAAATTAAAATATTTTGTAAATGACATAAAAACTACATATATTCTTTTAAAAACTACATATATTAATGATGTCATTTTCTGAGTAAATGACCTCACTGAATGCCAATCTGATGGCATGTGAAGCTGAAATGTAACATGACACTTATATGGCCTTTTGCATGCAAAACTAAAAGCAATTACAGTCACAAAAACACATTACATTGATGCAAGGAAGTAATTTTAAAATGCAGGTTCCTAGATAAATAGAATATTATCATGTTCCTGTGATTGTTTCTTAAGCATTCAAATGTATGCTTCTATTGAGTGCAAAAGCTAAGTGAAATACTAAATAGAAAGATGCGCTAAGGAAATTTTCCTCTTGGTCTGCTAGAAACATTTTTTTGTCTGCAAGTAGAGGTCACAAAGCCTGCAGCATTCATGATTATGGCCTGCGTATGTCTTTTAATTTGACTTTCTTCTTTTGATTATGAAAGGAAATATGAGAGGGAACCCACAGACATCACAGTCAAATAGAAATAACATGTTTTATTTCATAGAAAGAACTCAGTCATTATCCTAATAAACTTATAAATGTGAAAATCTGTCATTTTGAAATCATTTTTCTCATAAGCATACAACAAATGGCTTTAAAAGTATATTGCAAAATAAAATAAAATTAGTGTAATTCTTCCCTTGCATTTAGAGTAAATATCTTAAGATTTTACCTGCCTACTTGTCATAGAATTTTACTACTTGATAGTAACATTCATGGAGGATCTACTGTTTGTTCATTCATTTATTCAGTCATTGTTTCAACACTAAGCTTAAAACCACATTGGTACTTGAGGTGGCATCAGATCATACTAAGGACAAAAAAGGCCATAAGAGCAGGCACTGACTGTACCAAACTTGTAGTATTGTAAGGGAGACACCCAAACATATAACTAAATAGATGGGGTTAGGTGCTACAGTACAACAATACAACAATTTGAGTGTCAGAGAAGAAAGAGATTAGGTTCAGCTAAGGGAGCAGTATCTGTGGAGGGATGGGACAAAATTTCCTAATAAAAGGGGCCTTTGAATTTGACCTGAAAGGATGTTTTTCAACAGGAGAAACTGTGCTATGATGAGGCCTTTTCACATTAGAAAATTACATAAGTGAAACTTAGCAGATGTGAATGGACTTTCAGGCCACACCACGGAATCTGGTATGAATGAGACACATGGAGAGATGTAGTGGTGGGTGAAGTAGTAATGCAGAAATAGGACAGATTGTAAATAGTGGCCAATGTTCTAAGAAGAAGCTCAGGTATGTGTTATATAAACTGCAATGTGCATTAAAGATTTTTGTGGTGTTTTATGGTCATGTAAGCTTCATGGGAAGAGATTGACTATTGAAAGAGTAGTTAATAGACTGCTACAACAATAGAAATGAGAGTTATAAAATAGAGTAGTGGAGTGAAAGTCAAACCTCAAGTACGAATAGGAAAAATTTTCTGAGCTTGATTCATTAGCGTTGGATTATTGGCTTGGAGAGAGGAAGGAAGAAATAAAAACTAGAACTAGAACTCTCACGATTTGGGCCTGTGTGACTGGAAACATACAGCTACCATGAAGACGGAATACAGATGTAGAACTGGGGAGATGTGAATGAATTGAGTTTCAAAGTTATCAATTGAAAATGCAGTAAAAGCATCCAAATAGAGGCAGCCATAAGTTCTTTACAAATTTAACTCAGGAGCTCAAGAGAAAGTATGAGCCAGAGCTCAAGATTTGAAGCTTAATTGTTAGAATGTTTAACGTGGCCAAAAGAGTGACCATGACATAA